TTATATATATATAATATATATATATATAATATATATATATATATATATATATATATATGGAGTTCACTGGAGCCGATCCTCCAGGAATTATTACATAGCTCAGTGGAGTAAACAGAGACAAATGTCTTTCCGCAATAGAAACATTATTTGGATTTGATATATTCTATGTCTGTCAGCAGTCCAAGTTATGTAAGTATGATATATGCCAAACGAATGCTGAGAATATTATTTTAGTAATGTTTTTCGGGCGATTTATATACCATCTTTATAACAAATAGAGATTCTTGAACGTTGTATCCCTAGGGGTGAACCTGCTCAATCAAGAACAAACGAATGTTCTTGACCTTGCTTTGGCAGGCCACAATGTTTTTTTTGGTTCCGGCGGTACGGGGAAAACATTAGTGAGTTTGGGAGACGCAACGCGAACGCGACGGCAACGTTGAATTTTGCGCGGTTGGACTGGATCGAGTTTAAGTTGACGTTGTCGCGTTTGCTGAAGTTCTGTTCACAAGGGCATTTACACTGTTTTGCCGTCCTCTCGAGAACGTCAAAATATTATGGCTACGGACAAGTAAGTTTGGCATATTGTTGCTATTTTTTCTTCTTAATTTCAGTGAGATGACCAATTTAAGTAGTGAAGACAGAAATAATCAGAAATTAACATTTATTTTGTAGAAAACCGATGAAATGGAGCGAAGCACACGACATGCATTTACTGCGCAAAATACTTGCTGAACGACCGTTCGAACACCCGAAAGGCTCTCGGCAAATTGGAACAGCATGGCAAAAAATTGTGGATAATCTTAACGGCAAGACCGAAGTTTCATTCAATCTCAAATCCATTAGAAGCGTACGCGACAGATACGGGCTGCTGGAAACAAAATACAAGAGGAACGTATCAAACGAACTAAGGGAAAGTGGCACGAACCCTGAATCAACTGAATTTGATATGGCAATGGAAGATATCATAGGCCAGTTTGAAAGTCAAGAAGAAACTGCTTGTAAGGCTAAAGAAGCCAAGGATGCTGCACGCTCGAAATATGCTAGGGAAGCTGAAGAGATAAGACAAACGGCTATGGAGACATTTCGTGAAACCAAAAAACGTGCAGAGGGGGGAATCGGAAAAGGTTCAGATGACGAAGATGGCAGTTCGTCATCAGACACGCTACGCTCAACTAAAAAGCGTAGAGGCAGTGTAGTGGATTACTTGCTCAAAACAACCGAGTGTAACAAGGAAATTAAAAAACAAGAGCTGGAAATGAAACAAATGGAGATCGAGATTCGTAGGGAAGAATTAGAACAGAAGAAGAGGGATGAAAGTATGCTTCAAGCATTAATAGCATTAGCTAAAAAAGACTGAACATGCACTATATAAATTGTATGTATTTTTTTTTTATTTGTTGCAAGGAGTATGCAGGCTATTTATCGATTGGAGAGACTAGAGTCTGTAATTCTTACATTTGTTCTGTTATTCTTTTGTATATCCAGGCATATTTTGTTCACTTGGTTTGCATACAAAACTGGTACTACAGATGTTATACTAGGTCAGAGATCCCAATTCCCTCTCAGACTTGCATGGGGAATTACTGTGTCGGGAATGCTGTTTGTTAGCCGACAATGAACTCAGCTTTGTTTAGACATGATTTATTACTCATAAAAAAATATAACAATACAAAAGAACTTTTTCAAAAACCTCACGTTCACACAACGTTTTGTTGAGCCTTCCTTTTTTGTCCCCTGATCAGCGGTAACTCTACTGTATTACTTAGTCTTATGTGCAGGAATATTCCCAACACTCTCCCCCTATTTGATTTGGAGAGATCAAATAATTATATGAACAACTACAACATCTTAAGTTATGAGTTCTATGGTTAACTTTCAAGTTCAAACTCGGCAACGTTCTTGATTAGCTTCTCGGCTTCTTGTGCGGCTTTCCGTTTTGGTCGGAACTCCCTGGCTTCTGCATTCAATTCAACTGCTGGTTTCTCCACTGGAGGATCATCACGTTCTAATTCCAATGGATACAGCTGTTGGACCACACGGTCGAGATATGGTTTTCCGGCTCGTAATCGTACAGCTCTAACGACACCATCTCGACCCTTAATAGGTTTAACAACAACACCTAGATTCCACTTGCCACGGTTTCGCTCGTCATTCTTAATAAGTACGACTTGACCAATTTTGATATTTGCCTTTTCCCCACCTCGTAGATCATGTCTTTATCTGAGACCTCGCAGGTATTCGTTGGTCCAACGGGACCATAAGGCGTCCTTGCATCGAGATAGGTACTTGGCTCGCTTTCTCAATGGATGATCTTCAATCTTGCTGGAATCTTCTTCCGGCAGATTATTAGGTTGTCCGAACATCATGGCATTTGGTGTTAAAGTCGGCAATTGGATATCATCGTCTTGGTAAGCTAAAGGTCAATTGTTCAATGTGACTTCCACATCCAGGATAATTTCTTCGAGTTCGTCCCATCTTAGATTTGCCCGACCGATCGTCTTATACAGCGCTCTTTTAACAAGTCCAACCATTCCAGCGCTCTCTCAACAAGTCCCACCAAGGGGCCTTGCTCAAGTTGAACTGCCACACGATTTGTTGATGGGCCAGGTAGTTTTGAAAACGTTCATCTTTCATTATCTTACGGATCCAATTTGCAGCCGAAACAAAAGTTTTACCATGTCCGAGTAAACTTTCCGCGGACGTCCTCTTCGTGCTATGGATCGCTTAAAACTGTTTATGAAATTCTCGGTAGTTTGGTCATGAAGTAATTCTAAATGAATAGAACGAGTTAGGCTGCAGGCGAAGAGCAAGATGTACGCTTTAAAAATCTTTCGTCTTATTGATCTTATAGATAAGGGGCCCAGCATAGTCGACACCAAGAACTTCGAAGGGAATTGATCCAACAGTTCTGTCGAGCGGCAGATTTCCAACTGGTGGATTATGATAGGCAGTTGCCTGGAAACGCGTGCACCCGTAACAGCCCGCAATCACTTTCTTTGTTGACTGGCGAAGTCTTGGTATCCAGTAACGCTGACGTAACCGGGTCATGGTTAACCCAACTCCCCCATGCAACGTTTCGACGTGAGCATCTTCAATCATTTTCTCACTGAGCAACGTGGCAAGCGGTACATAAATTGGATACAAGCCTTGGATTCTTCCGCGGCATTCAAATAGACCATTTACGTTTCTTTGAAGATTAAGTCTTAGCTGATCGTTCTTAAATTGTTCCGTTTCGATTTGTCTTTCGGTGAATTTCTTCACGAGCAACTCCACTTGAGTTTCGGTTTCAGTTGTTGTCAGCGGATCACTTTGTTTCCGAGTCTTGCCCAGCGTTGCCCTGAAGTTGTTTACAAATCTGGTTATCCAACCGAGGATACGAACAGATTTCCAGAAAGTGTGCTTTTGCAGCAGTTCATCCACTTCTTCTTTGACTTCTACAACTGCAGCAAACAAATTCTTGACCAACTTAACTTCAGATTCCGACTCTTTACCGGGTTGTGCAACTATGTCCTCAGGCCATTGATCGGGATAAGGCAGCCAATCTGGTCCATTCAACCATGACTCGGTCAGGTTATTTGGTAAACATCCACGGCCACCAAGGTCTGCAGGATTCTGGTGTTCCCGACATGCCTCCACTGAATGTAATCCTTGGCGTTCATTTTCTTCGTTCTATTCGCAACAACCTGTTTATAGTTGCCGTTTCCCTTTATCCAATAAAGGGCGGTAGTACTATCTAACCATGCAAAGACTGATGTAACTGGATAACTCAGCGCGTTCTTGACATTGTCGACGAGGGTTGCTGCCATGTGGGCTGATACAAGTTCTAATCGTGGGATAGTCAAATTCTTTTTTGCAAGTCTCGACTTCGCAGCTATTAAGCCTTGATTGACTCCCGATTGCTGGTGCACAACTGCGTACACGGCTGCACACGTACCGTCAGAACTAGTGTCACCGAACGCGTGGAGATGGACTGCTTCAATCAGTTCTTCAAAGGCTGTGATGTGTCAGCATAACCAGGATTAGGTATAGACAGGAGAACGCTTTTGGCAACCTTGCTTACTTGGGTTTTCATTTCAAACTTTCCTCTAACATCAGCCACAATCACATCATAGATCTCAATTCTCTGAATTGTCGATGACATCATCATATCAATATGCCGGTACTCAGTTCGTGAAAGCTGTTTCCTTAGAAGCTTTACCAAATCTGCAGAGATATACGAACTGCCAGCTCTTGTGTCCAAGAGGGCCCTGCATTTTATCCCATTGACAACCGCTACAACAACTGGATATATCACCCTCCTTTACCAGTAGCCAACATCATTTGTTTAGTTGCACTTCCTTGGTCATCACAAATAGAGGTGTGATGTTTCGCATTACACCGAAAGCAAGTTGTTTTACTTCGACATTCGGATGCTCGATGTTTTACACCAGTGCAGTTGAAACATAGTTTTTTCTCTAACAAGATCTTCTTTCGAGATGTAATGTCCACAACTTGGTCGCAGTCTACGGACTTGTGTAGGGTTGACTCACAGAACACACACAGTCTTGGTTTCCCATGATTCCTGCTTGGCATGTAAGAACTTTCCAGATTTTTGTTGATAATGGCTGGTACCCTTGTGATCTGACTTACGGTCTTCTTCTGATATGGGGTTCCTCACACACCATTTTCGCAGTGCTTCGACCGTCTCACCAAATCCCCAATCTTGCCAATTGTCATCTGATCGTACCAAGTCTGCCCGTATGCCTGGTAATTTATCCAGCGTGCTTCGTGCAAACCCCTTTACTTCGTTCAGCTTCCCCATGGTTTCTAATGCTTGTGTATTTGCAACCAGTGTTTCAAAGAAACGATTGATTTTCCTTGCATCGGACCCAGATATGGTTGGTAAGGAAATAATGCTCTGCATATGGGCATTTTGCAACTTCACTTTCTTTCCCATACCGCGTCTTTAGGATAGTTTTCGCTCTTTCATACCCTTCGGTAGAAAAGGGCAGACCATCAATGAATGCACGGACCTTAGGAATAAGCAACTCTTTGAGGTACAGCTTGGTAATGGGGCTGATCTCTGCCTTGTCAATTTCTTTTTCAAATTGCCCCCAGAATCTCTGCCAATCCAAGTGAGTTCCTTGGAATTTAGATATTACTAACTTGGGCAGCTTGGCAGAATTGCATTGGCTTGCAGACTTCATTTTAACTTCCTCTAATCCCCTTTCAAACTTCCGTTTCATTTCTAGTTTAGCTCCCTCGAGTGCCATCTCTTCCTCATAACGTTTCCTACGCTTTTCTTCTTCAATTCCTCCATCCTTATCCTCAGCTTTCTGGAGTTCAATTTCGCGCAGTTTCTCACTCTGTTGTTTCATTTCACTGATAACATTTTCAAACTCAAGTACAGTTTGTTCTAAGTCACGGCTCCATGTTCTAACTTATGTGAGGTCATCCCACTGAGCTATATAATAATTCCTGGAGGACCGGCTCCTAATGTTTTTTTCTCAAAAAGTTAAGCAAGAAACATGGCGGATTTTGTCGCTGACGCCAGATATGGTCCCACTGGGCAATGGTATTGACCACTGACCAACCGCGATCCAAGCCAACAGACGTTTTTCTTCACCCTCCGGTTTTTTGCAAAAAATTCCCGCCTTGAACAGTTTTTCAAAGTGTTTACACGCATTTAAAACGTTAACCAAGGTTTTTGAAAATTTTTCATAAATATGCCGCGTTTTTGTTCAGCTTTTGGATGCCGTAACCGACTGTCAAAGGAAAATATTTCTTCCCATCGGTAAGAATCTTCAGATTTACATTTCAAATAAAATATTTAAATGTGTTTTAAAAAATGCGATATAATTCTTAGGTTTTTACAAGACTGCATTAACTCACGACAGCAAAACAGCGGATTAACATTAAAAATAGGCTTGGAGTTATTTCTGGATTAAAGCGCTATAAATATAGTTTTTAAAAATTTCATATTCTTTTATATTTTACGTATTGTATTTCTGTATATTTTAGATATTGTATTTCTGTATTTGCATATTTTAATTATATTTCGAAGTCACGAAAGACGCCATCACGTTCAACACGTCGCCGTGTAATTGCAATAGTTTAGGTAGCCTATAAATGTAAGCGCCCTGATTTTACTCTTGAACTGAAGCTTGCTATAATAGGTTTGCAGACGATGTATTAATTTAAGTCAGGGTCAAGTACGGTCAAGAGTATAATCCTCATTTAATCTTTCTAACATTCACTTGTATGCACACAGTTAATGGATTTGGTTCATTTGAACACCAGCATTTAAATACTAATTATTGCACTGCATAGATTTTCTAATATCTTAGATCATTAGTACATTGTTATTATATAGCTTTCCAGATATGAAAATTTATCCTGAGATACGTGCTATGTGGGTTAAAAATGTAAATAAGAACTCCCCAGTCCAGTTTGTACCTACAAAGGGAAGCCGATTATGCTCAGAACATTTTGCAGTGGAGACGAAACAGCAGACTGGAAGCAGAGTGATATTGAAGCAAAATGCTATCCCAACTATATATCAAAAATCTCAGGTCAATACCAAATATTGTTAGTACAAGATATAGTAATTATTTGCAGTAAATAGTTTGAATATGGTTAGATGCATGCCACTGGATGTGACAATATGAACATGGTATATACAGCCTGAGGGTCATTTTAGTATATTTGTCTCATTAAATTGGCTATATTGTTGAAATTATTAGGGGATAAACAATGTAGCTGTAAATGTAATGTTTGAGAAAAAAGGTTTATTACAAAGAGTAAAATTGGTAAATGAGGTGAGTGAAGGAGCATTAGGTTTGGAGGTCAGAAATGCAATTGGAAACAAGGAAATTGAATATATGAGGATGGCTCTGGGCAATCACAATTGAAGACAGTGTAAGTATGGAATACAACGTAGGTAATGAAGACAGTTTAGGTATTGAGGGGGTCACTGAAGAAATTTCTAGTAGTAATGAAGGTGTAAGTATACTCGGAAGGAAAAGAAAACTTGAGGATGAAGTGATTTTGGATCAGGTAAGCACTGCTCTGAAAAAGGCTCATATTACTAGAACATCTGGAGCAGCGAATCATGATCACACATATCACATCAGTAAATCTCGTTGTAGTTTGAAACAACAAGTCGATGATGTTGTCAGCAAATTGACAAAGTTGCAGAAGAGGTATAAAGTATCCGAACAAAAGACTCGGCGTCTGAAGAGAAAGGTTGTGACTCTGAGTTCAGTGGTAAGTGAGTTAAAAAAGAAGAGTCTTATAAATAGTGATTGTGCCTCAATCTTGGAAACAACCTTTTCCGGAGTTCCAAAGGAACTGATGAAAAGGTTGGTGTCGCAAAAAAAAGAAAAATCCTGGCGCGTATCTACCTGAGCTAAGGTCATTTGCTCTGACCTTAAAGTTTTATTCAACGAAGGCATATACAATTATGTTCGGAAAAGTTTCAAGCTAGGGCTGCCACACGTATCTGTGATCCGATCGTGGTATACGTCGATGGATGGTGAACCCGGTTTCACGAAAGATGCTTTAACAGCTTTGAAAGCTAAGGTCCTTGCTGCAAGAAGAGATGGTGAAGAAGTTGTTTGGGCTCTCACCTTGGATGAGATGTCTATACGAAAACACGTCGAGTGGGATAGCAAGAGAATGCGTGGTTATGTCGACCTCGGAACGGGCATTAAAGACGACTCTCTACCTGAAGCTACCGATGCTCTTGTGTACATGGCCGTTTGCGCAAACTCAAGTTGGAAATTACCCTGTGGATATTTTCTGGTGAATGGGCTGACTGGTGAAGAGAAGGCCAACTTAACGAAAGAATGCATTCGGAAATTGCACGAAGTCGGGGTGAAGGTGATTTCTTTCACATGCGACGGTCCATCGACCCACCAGGCGATGTTAAAGGAGCTCGGCGCAATTCTTACACCTGATAGCCTGCAGGCGTCTTCTTGGTTTTCTTATTTGCTTCAAAGCAGTTTTGGGATTGGCCGACGATCTGGTTATGCCGGAGAAACCGGTTCTGAAGTACCTTCTGACGTACAAGATGAGTCAAGATCACTTGGAGTTGTTCTTCGGTGCTGTGCGAGCATGCGGAGGATGGAATAACAATCCAACCACATGGCAGTTTGTAGCCGCGTACAAGCAACTGTTGATGAGGCACAATATTAAAGGAGGTCATGGAAACTGCGTTGCTCTAGATGACACTCAGATATTAGACTGCATCAAAGCTCAGTGTGAAATTGAACAAACGCCAACTGGGATCTCAGACGTAGCGATTGCAATACGACCTGGAGTTGAGAGAGCCAGCTGCCGTCGATCATGACTACTGTGATGTGCCTAATGCCATTGAACTGTCTGAGTACAAGAAGGCTGCAATATCGTATATTGCTGGACGAAGCGAAGTGATACGTCTCGAAGATGGTGACGAAAAAGATCCATTGCACCCAATGTACAACGGTGCTGACGACGACGGAAGAGAACATACCGGACGTGTTCGTAACATGGAAAACGAATGGAGGTTTGAAGCTACCGTCACATGGACTGATTAAGATTTGTGAAGAAACGGAGAAGTGCGTTATGAGAATGCTGAATGATGTGAAACATGTGTGAAGAACGGGGTCTTTAGCACGTTAGACCAACACATGTTTGACTTAAGTGCAGTGGACAACCACTTGTTCACTCTGATAAAGTGCTGTTCTCAGAGTTATGTCACGATTCGAATGCATTATTTATGTAAGTTAAAAAATGCAAGTACGCATGAGAAGGTAATAAAGCAGTTTTCAAAGCTTGTGTTATTCAAACACCAGTAGAGTTGACACGTGACCTGGGCACAGCAGTGTGCTTTCGAGGTTTGCCTGTATGCCTGTGGATGGAATGTCAATATATAACTTGCATGAATTTAACCTTTTCATTTTTTTATGACGCAAAATCATTTGAGATTCCTTCATTTTCCTTTACATCTTTTAAATTTTTTTTTAATCTTTACAAAGTTAAGCAAACCTTTGACTATAAAGACAAAAGTTGCTTATATTTGTAAACAATATTATTTATATCTGCAGCCTTGTTTCTAATGTTTCAGTTATAGACATTGCATTTTCGAAAGGTTGAGCGTATCCTGGCACAATCATTTGTGTTTCTAGGAAGTGTGCATTGTTGAGAATGCATTGTCAACGTAACCTGCACATTTTAGATGTGTCTAGGGGTTGATAGAAATAATGTGTATGTACGGTGTTTGAAAACTGGACAAACAAATTATATATTTTAAATTTAATGATGTCCCTAGAGGTAATATTACATTTTTGTTTTCTATTTTTTTTTAAATGTTTTATCCAGTTCTAGTGCCATTAATTGTGTGCTTTTAATCCATATCTGTTAGTTTAAGAGAAAATGGAAAGATTTCACTGCAACCATGAATAATAAATTAAGAATTAAATTATAATTTTGTAAAATATATTGTAATATACTAATTATGTCTTATATTTATATATGTATGATGTAAACTTGTTGTTAAAATCTTATGGGCCTATCACGGGGCGAAAAGTTAGGTTTGCGAACTTGTAAATCTAATCGCAAATCTGCGACAAAACTTAATTTTGACCATAGTTTGCCAGATTTGCACGCGTGTAAACGTTTAGTTTGCACTCGCATGTAAAACAGTTGCAAAGTTGGCATCCGCTGCGATTGCATATGGTGCAAACATATTGCAAACCCAGTAACTTTACCAGATTTGCAATGGGTTTGCTTCGCGTGTAAACGCATAGCAAACATTAAATTTGCTATAGATTTGCTTCGCGTGCAAAACCATAGCCCAAACGTTAAATTTGCATTATTGTTTGCCTCGCGTGTAATTGTGCTGCAAATAATGATTTTGCATGGATTTCCACAGCGTGTAAACCTCTTGCAAGCATAATAAGTTTGCAACAGATTTGTGTCGTGTGTGAATTTAAAGCAAATAATACATCCAACCACAGTTTTGCGTTTCTTGCAAATGCGTGGCAAAGCTATATTGAATTTGCAGTACATTTGCATCACTGTAAACTGGGAACAAAATAAACAAATGACAAATAATTTCCTTTGTAAACTATGTATTTAGTATGCATTACTTTACAAATACAATTCTACGATTGTAATCAATGAAAACACAAATTCCTTTAAAAAATGTTATCAAAGCGACAGAAATTCAAGACTCTACAGTAAGATTAAACAATCAGTCTTATAATCTCTCTAACTCTATATATTTGTTCATATAATACCTTGTATATAGCAGCTTTGCCGAAAACAAAGGATTTACAGAGACCTATTTGAAAACAACGCGTTAGGCAAGCCTGAGTTAAGGCTGTTTTCCACTTAC